AAAGTATTGTTTCACCTTTGATTGAGTAACGCGTCGTAGAATGCAGATACCGGCATGCAAAATACACTTGTGAAAAGCTTGAAGTCTGGCGATTCTAAAAATATATACTTTCCCGGGTCTATTTGTAGTCACTTAGTCACAATTAGAAGATGAAAACAAGTATGCAAATAATAGTCCCGCTACCTTAAACTGACCGGGAAATGATTATACATATAAAACTTGAATTTCACACTGTTACCTTTGTCATTCAGTGTGCCGACTTTGTCATTGATTGTGTTATTTTTTGTCACAGAGTGTACTTACTACCTTTGTCACTGAGTGTGCCATATTTGTCATTGAGTTTGCCTTCTTTGTCATTAGGTGTGCCAACTTTTTCGTTGAGTATGCCAACTTTGCTACAGAGTGTGTGAACTTTGTCATTGAGTGCACAACTTAGTCATTTAGTGTACCATCTTTCTCATTGAGTGTGTCAACTTTATCGTGGTTAAATAATGTTTCTTCTTGATATAGACAACTGCATTTAGGCAAATGAATGAATTACTTCAAAACAAAATATTAATTAGTTTGGTGGGCGAACATTAACACAGTACACACAATCTCCAAACTTACCAAACTGTACATCACTCTTAGAGATAATTAATTTATAAATATTTCGATGTACGTGAGCGATGTTTATAATTATTGGAAAATTACAATATACAGTAATTCGACTTGTACGGACTTTTAAATTACTTTTTTTATTACGTACACATTTAACATTTGTAATGAACTTACACCTGTTCTAGACATTTTACTGAGTGATCAAACAAGATTAAATGGCGAGTATGAATAACATCGGAACTTTAGGGCGGTACAACATAACTATGAACTTCACGGACATAACGTTTATGGCCCAACGTGATCTTGAACTTGATTTTGATAAAGTTCATACCTGTGTTGTTATCTTCTTCTGTGAACGTTGTTTATGAACTCTGTTCAAGCCTGGACACATCCACTAATCCCGGGGGTGGGTGTATGCATGTTGCTGATGGCGTGTATATATATTTTTTCCGTTCAGCTGTTGGTTACAATAAGTCTAACGGTTTCCTAAGTTTTGTACATCTAGTGTATTGAGTGAAACAAATATATGACAGACGTAACAAGTTTTGATTTAACTTAACAAAGTGTGGTAGTTTTCAAAGTACCCTGTTTGCTAATGAGATGTGACATGGTCGTGGTGGTATAAAAAGGCGCCTCATTGACCCATTCAACTAATGTGGTTAAAATGACCGTGAAATACATAGTGAACGCTCCAGAGAAGCAAGCTGTATCTATTCGTCACAGAATAACCGGCACCAAACGAGTTGCACACATGCGCTATGTCTTGGTCTGCGTGATAATAGGTATATTTTCTTTGTCAGGTATTGCTGCTCTGGCATATTTCTTTGTGAACAATTCAGAGCAAGGTATGTAAACTCGGTTTTTTTATATATATTCTAATCTCAGTATTTGTGTGCATCGATAGTTAAATACTCATACCATCTTGCTATTCATTTCTATATTCGAAAATTAGTGATTTATATCATATGAAATATGTAAAATGCTCTCATCAAATGTTTATACAAAAAAGTATCACACTTAACCAAAACGTTTCAACTTGATGAATGAGTAACTGTTTAGAAATTTCGATAGTGTGTTGCGACTGTTTGCTTTATTAATATTTGCAATTTATGGCGCAGTTACAATCACGTTAAAACAGCTCAATATTTATGCGTTTTGCATACTGGTGCTGTCTCTTTAACACTTCATTGTGCCCAGAAGAAGATTGTAGCATAAGTTGGCTCGAACTGGTAAAAGCTTAAACATATGAGATGTCGCTGGATTTAATTGTATTCAACCACAGTCTAACACTTGATTGTAATATTCATCACAGTGAGATCAGTTATACATTGATTGTTTTTTTTTTCAATTACGTAGACACTCTTCTTCCACTTCCTCTCAGTACACCCGCTACAGCGACCACGCAAACAACGAAGATTATTACAACAGCTGTTCCTTCTGCGACTGAAATTGTACACACATCAGAAATGCCGCCACCCCCGTACTCAGAGGTAAATTAATGTATATTATGTTAATTATTTTATGAAACAATCTTTATTATTAAACATTGCGAATTGTATGATATATCCCTTCCAATTTTCATGGTTAAATATGAGCACATCCACATGAGGTTTTTTGTAAAGTCTGGACCGATGTAACAGTAGTGAATGCGATTGTGTGAAATGGCCATGATTTATCGGTTAAAAGTGGCGTGACCTTGCGTACCGAGACACAGCAAACATCACAAACTAAATCTGATTGTGCTGGTCACAATAGAAAATTTGGAGCTTAAAACAGCTATTTGTCCGGTACAAAAACCCGTGATGACGCATTTTCGAATTTATTCTCATGTACAAATAGTTTATTTACAGCGCAAACATCTTGACTTACCTGGGGTGAATGGGCACTTTTCTACGTCACGCACGTGTGGCGTAGGTAATCAATCACGTGTTTGTTATACGTCTGACATAATTAATGGCAATGTCCAGAATCATAATACCAAACAAACAAATCATTCACTACTGAACCTTCGATCAGTGCACAATCCCCTCAACATTCTAATCAACTGACTTCCACCAGGAACACAAAATGTTTTACACACACACACAGGCAAGATGATATGTTCATGGATATGTTGCAGGCGAAAAAGTCACATAAAACAGCGAGTTACTCCAAAAACAGAGCAAAATGTGAAATTTGTTTGTTTCTCTGCTTGCTCTCTATCATGGTGTTAACTTAAACCTAAACAAAATTCTCATTTTATTAGTGAAATAAAACTAAAATTCAGTCCTCAAATATATCTAAACTATAATTTTTGCAATGAAATCCTTAATCACAATTGTGAATGAATATATGCTCTTTGTACCATGCGTGCTATAAATTATAGAAGTTTACGTTGAATGGTCGATGGAAAACGATTTAAAAATGTCTTAGTCACTCGTAATTTCGGTTTATTTAATGTTGAATATTTGTGAACATATTCCCCACTACTGCCTGTGTACAGAACGATGTTGGTTGGTTCAGTAAGTTATTTGGGGTGTTGTATGTGACATGGAGCTCCATGTGCGTAGCTTGCTGATTTGGCAATCTCGGACATTGGGATTGTATACCAATTACTATGTTAATTGTTTTGCGAAACAACGTTTATTATTAAACGTCGCGGATTGTATGATATATCCCCTCCAAGAGTTGACACATTTTTCATGGTTTAATATAAGCACACTGAAGTTTTTTGTAAAGTCTGGACCGATATAGCAGTAGTGAATGCGATTGTGTCACGGTGAAATGGCCAAGATTTATCGGCGACCGTGACACCGAGTTGCCAATAATCTAAAAAAAGTGGCGTGACATTGCGTACTGAGACATAAAAAAACACACCACAAACTAAATCAAATTGTGTTGCTGACATTATGATTTAAAGCACAGAATAGCTTTTTGTCCGGTAAAAAAACTTTCATCTCATTTAGTAAAACTATGCATAAAATACGTATCTGTGACCAAAGTAGAACAACCTGAATATGTAAAGGAAATCCACATACAGCAGTTAGCGAACTCACAACTCGTCTATTGTATATAACCTGGCGTCAATATGGATGACCGATTTCCGATTCGATTAATTGGAAAAAAATGAGTTTAAACAACCCGTGATGGCGCATTTTCTAATTTATTCTCATGTACACCTACTTCATTTACAGCGCAAACATCTTGGCTTACTTGGGGTGATTGGGCACCTTGCCACGTCACGTGTGGTATTGGTAATCAGATAAGATCACGTGTTTGCTATACGTCTGACATCACTCAGTCGTGCATCGGAAGTTCTAGCCAGTCTCGGACATGTGCACATTGGGATTGCCCAGGTAGGTATTATTCAAACTTATACTAAAATACTCTGTAAGTTGCATTATTTAATTATTTATTTTTTTATTTTTTTATTGAAACCAAAATTTCTTTTTCTGTAATATCTAAACTCAGAACAGGGTTGTCCTGTGTTGATTTCTTTTTGGTCCACAGTTTTTGTTTAATTTCATTGTTACTAACATTTTTTAAATTATACAATTTTTTAAAATGACTTAGCGAAGTAGAACTTGAAATGGACTGTTCCACGTTATTGTTTTTTTGACAGCGTAGTTGTTTCAATATTGACCAGTACTCCTTCTGATTGTTTTTTTTTCTGATATTTCCAATTGATTAATCATCATTTCTTTTTTCTTATTAGTTATTGAACGTTTATAAATCTTTTTAATAAAATAAATGTTATGCTTCATAAATGGGTTCTTCGGTTCTTTGGAAAGCAGTTTTGAAGCTTTAATAAGCTCTTTTCTTAATTCACTACAAGATTTGTCAAACCAAGGTTGTCTAATAATGTGATGTTTTTCTTCCCAATAGATTGCTCAAAATCATGTGAATATGGTAACATAGACAATGAATGCTTATTTTGTGTTTGCGAAAATGATGTCGTTGATGGCGTCGTGGTTGATGTTGCTGGCAGACCACTATACAATGCTTCAATTGCTCGGGAGGAGAACCCTTTAAAGCCAATCGCAATAACTGACGTCGATGGGAGTTTCAGTGTCAAAGGTGTTGTATCCGTAGTTCAGTGCTGATTATTCACAAGTCCAAGTTTACACCAAAAACCTACACACTACAAGCTATGCCTGAGAGTGTGACCAATTATTCAAATGTCAGAATTGTGCTGGTAAAACCCGGTAAGATGTTTCTATGTGATTTATGATCGGCATTTTAACAAATATTAATCGGATTTTACATCTAAACGCTGTCCAATGATCTAGATTCAACACATTGTATGTCAGTGCAATGAATTTTGTATTTGTGATTGTATGTACATATAGCTCCACCAATAATCACAGTAAATCCTGAGAACAAAATTAGATACGTTGGACAGAGTGTAAAATTTTGTTGTGATGGCTATGGTACTCCAGACCCAAGCTATTATGAATGGTAAGTATATATACTGATAAATATATTATGATGTTGGCATCGTCGATTACAGAAGTTGGACCAGATATGACATCTTTCACCAATTTGCGAGGCGACTGTTAATGTAGTGAGGAATTGAGACTTTGTTCACGAAAAAAAAAGTGAATCTTCCATTATTCGATTGCGTACGGGTGCGTATTACAGGTGAATACGATGTGTATTATATACCCTACTGTCTCTTTAATGTTTATGCTTGACAAACTTATACGGATGCAGAACCCATAACCTTATTTTTATTCAAGGTTTAAAGATGATGTAGTCCTCGATAATTGGTCGTATGGATTGAGCAATTCCTTAGTTTTGAATAACTTGACTCTGGAGGATGCAGGGTCATACACGTGTAGAGTAAACAGTGATGCAGGGGCAGTGTATTCAATCCCAGCTGTACTTGATATATATGGTAAGATTGGAACTTTTGTTTTATATTCTCGTGTCTTTAGTACTTTTCACCTCCTGATTCGTCGAACGTTGGCCTCAATTAGGCCTTGTTACAAATAATGAAAGATGACAGGCATTAGAAGTTTCAACTCGTGTTTTTAAATCGAATTCACGGCTGCGATGGTTATATTGAGATTTATTCAGCAACTTATGCCTGTCCCAGCAGGGATTTTAATTGTACCATGTTTAATTTACATAC